TGGGGGGATTAACTGCAGTACATTTTGAAAGGCAAAATATTAATAAATAATAAAAAGTAATCCAAAACTATATCATTTCTGTCACCTAAGCAACTATGCTTGCCATGGTAAGTGACTGTGTGGATGCCCAGATGCTCTGTTAGAACTACAAACCACAAGCTGTATCACATTTCTGCAAAGTCATTTTGTCTCCACAACTGCACTATAACCTCAGTTCCCAATTCTCTTAAGACATTTCCTTTAAACCTAAGTTACCTTATTTCAAACTTGTTCTTTCTAAGCCTGTCCTTGCATTCAGGAAAGCAAAGGATGTGTACGCCCCACGCCCCTAATATTTTCAGAGAGCAGAGGATGCCTGAAATGTTTTACAATTAGAGAGTCAATCTTTAGAGATGCCACCACCTGCACATCAGCATCCTCCAAGCCTAGTGAAGAGAAAACATAGGCCATTTCTGTGGCTTTCACTGTTCAGTTTCAGGTGTCCACAGTTTCCTAGAGCAAGCACAGATGGAGTCTTCACCATTAGTACAAAGTAATTTAGAAATACATAAGCAAACAGTATTTTCCTTTTAAGTGTTATATTAGGACAGACTTAGTAAAAGCTTGCTAGGGTTTATGGTGATGAAAGTGATGGATGGCATGACTTTTAGGACAAAAAATATGTAATTAGAAAATCATGTAAATTAGTGCTATTGGCATGTAGTACCCTTTGGGGAACTTTTTTAAGACTATATTTTTCTGCATAACAAATTATAGGGCACCACTTTTTTCATGACTGACTAAGCATCAGTTCTCAGTCTGCAAAATCTACCACCTGCTAAAGAAAATTTTTATGTGTATGTACACACTTCAAAATCAAAAGTCACCTTTCAGTCCTTCAGTCTGTTATCTCGTTGCTAATCTGTGAATCATTATTGCAGTAGCATGGCTACCTCAATTCAGGCTTACCTGGCTTTGTTGGTCTTCACAAGTTCATACTTCACTGATGCAAGGACTTCTTGTTACTCATCCTCACCCAACTTGTGGCTCTCTCAATCCTTCCACTAGCCCAGCAGGAAGAGAATTTGAAGTGATCTTAAATTCATATGCACTGGGGATTATACATAGATTGCTAACCATTCTATGGTCCACTTTCCTAAAATCTTTTGGAAGGCACAGGTTTTGTTACTATAGAGTAATTGCTAGAGTAATCCTAAGTAAGAAAATACAGCTTATACAGTAGGATGAGAAAATAGAAAAAAAATTCCTCAACTCCCTTGCAAACCCAACCTAACAAGAAAAAGATTCTTCTGTCCTAAAATAAATTGGTCTCAAATTACACTTACTTTTAAAATGTAGTTCCTCACTCCATTTACGGATTCATCTGTTGAAATACTGAAGTTACAGTACTAAACTGTCAGCTAAAATACTAAAATACTTTAGTGGAAAAAACACCATTTCAATGTTATTAAAAGGGGGGGGGGGAACAAACACAAAAACCCCTCCCCCAAACCAAAAAGCCTATGCTGCTTGCTTTGTTACCGTCCCATCAATCTTTGCTAATGTGACATCATCATATCCCAAAATAACTGTTCTCAGGAAATATACTGGTTTCTACTGGAGAAGAAGATTGTATTGAGACCACTCCTGGCAAACTTATTTTAAAAGTCATCTAAACCAGCAAAACTGAGAAATCAATTTTTAAGTGACAGATAGGCCTCTGGAGGATAAGAGTTGCGGCTCTGAGTTTCAAGGAATGGATAATCACTTTTATAAGGATAGTGAGCTTTTATAAAGCTCACACAAAATTCACAGCCCAAGAAGTGAGAGATGACATGGGCTCAAAGCTGGCTGCAGAGGGACTTCCATGGCCCCACTGACAGCCATCAGGATGATGGATGTGCTCTGGGGGTGCCAGCTACTCTTATTTTGCACACCTCTCTGTAGGTGCTTTGCTGCTGCCATCTTGCTCCCCGTAACCAGGGCTCACAAGGGGAACATTAGAAAGCCAGCAGCAGCTGTCTGTTGCAAGTGATTCCCTTAAAGCTTTCTAATTCTCCATCAGGACTGTGGAATTGAAATAGAAATCTCATAAGATTATCCAAAAGCTTCCTCTAAAATCATGGTGTTTGTGTCTTACCTCAGTGTGAGTGCCCCTCACCTGTGCATTCTTTACAGAGAGACCATGTCACAGATGTGAAACTAAACCTAATGGATATCAAATATACTTACTTTCAATAATACAATTATAGTTATTATTTTCTATGTAAAACCTTTAAATCTCTGAGTAATGTCCTTCTGTGGATTCTAGGTGTTGGCTAAAAAGAAAGACAATGAGAACAATTTATTTTGAAGCACTGATGATCTTTCACATTAATTCAATTCATGAATTATTACTCCTTATATTAGAAGATATATTTAACTTACCTTTATTTTTCCAAAAAAGTATTTAAAGTGTTGTGTATAGATAATGCAAAATATCCTTACCATTATTAAGTAAAAATAGTCTTAGCTGAATGCACTGATACATTTTGAAAGCGGTTATTGACAACGAAATGCATCAGAACCTGACAAAATCTTCTAATAATTATTACCTCTCAATTTACAATCGTGCAACTTATTACCTCTCAAACATTAAAGTGCACTATCAAAGCACTTTATATGTACACATATTGATAGATTGGCACTAAGTTATGTATATGAGTTCTAAATTTGACCACACTGCAGTCGTAAAAATATGCAAAGATTCCACCTAGAAGCTCTCTATTTTGTACATTTAGCAATTTAAATGAGACTTGCAGGCATTAAACTTTTATGACTGTACTTGCTTCCAACAAAATTGTAGATTTATGGTAATATGGTAAACACATTGATGCTGTGCATTGATGTTGTTCTATACATAAATGTCATTGAGCAAATAAAAAGTCACGGTAGTATAGATTACTGAAAAAAACTACTATAGCAAATAATTACAAACCATATTAATAAATAAAACTGTACGAAACATTTTTGAGTACTTTGGTCACATACTGATAAAATTTATTTTAAAAGCAGAAACAGAACTGATACATGTGCCCACACACACAATACGCATAACACATTTCACAGATCAGTACCAACCTCTTCCATTTCAGTTTATCCAATTTTGTTACCACAGCAGTATTTAGATTTATTTTTAATAAAGAATTCCATTAATTTACTTTATATAAGTGTGAAAATAAAAGGGTAATACATTTCTAGAAAGCAAAGCAGAAAAAAAAAACCCTCTGTGAAAGCAGAGCCTTTAAGCCAAAAAATTGAACTGGCAACATAGCTAAAGATAGTAAGATCGAGATTGCACAAAAACATTTATGCACCCTCCACTCCACTTAGTATTGGTTTCTTTTTGAAGTGAAAATTACTAGTTCCTGAGAATAATCAAACTGAAACGTTACACAATTCGAATAGAAAAAATGTATTCTCATGCTGACAGTCACATCCTTACTCTAAAATTTGGAATATTCGTCTCCACCTATTCCAAACTTAATATTCTTAGAACTGATTTTTTTCCCCCCACTCAAACATAAATTAAAAAAATATTAATTAAAAATTTCATTTTGATTAATATGGTAGATGTTATTTGTGCAACTTATTGCTCTAACGGGTACACAGCAAAGATTTTTAAAGTCAAAGTGCTGAATATATATACATTGCATTGCTTTAATATCTACTAAAATCACTTGGTAATACCACGCTATAGAAGGCCGAGAACGTAACAGAAAATTGTCAAGTACTGCTTCTTCAAAAAAACCCTTTGAATAAGGGTTTCATCCTTGCTGTAACTAAGCGTCATAATCATATACCTTTAAACAATATACTGAAGGCTGTCTCCAATGTAAGAAGAAACACACTTAAATAGGAATATATCCAATTGTAACCCTTGTTGCTCATGCATCACTTGTATATGATTTTTTAAATGTAAGATTAACACAACATGAAAGTATTACATAAGCCCTTAAAAATCTGGGGTCTCTATTTTTCAAGATGGCATTTTAGTATTATTGAGATACTGCTGGAGCTTATCTGGATACTGGTTGATTCAGTTTTCCACCAAAGCTGATGACTGAATTAGTGCAAAACTTTCACTATGTGCAATTTTCTTGTATGGTGTAGTAGACAATACAATATTCAGCTCTATTTTTTCAACTGAATTTATTACATATGCTGAAGTCAGTTAACAAAACAACACATAAAAAAAACCTGTCAGACAATTCAAAAAGCATTAATTTTGTATAAAATGTATTTATCTTCAACACCCCTTTCTATACCTTCCCTCCCTTCAGATTGCTATAAATATGAAATATGAATTTGCATCTTGTCATGTAATTCCTAATAAGAGGTATTGCTACAGTAAGACAAATGTAAGAATCAAACATACTCTGTTTGTATGTGACTGTCCGCTTTCTAATGCTTTCTAGGTATTATTGTATTGGTAGTAGGTATGCGTGTCCACTCAAACTTTCAAATAATTTTATAAAAAGTTAGAAAAATATACTCAATATTTGTTGCATAACTTTCCTATAGTCACCTTATCATACATGAATCTTACAAAATGCTTTAGAATCATTTAATAGCTGCAAAAATACCAACCATTGTGCAGCACCTGGAGAAAGGTCTTGGTGAGGACATACAATCCAGTATTATGTGATCTTGAAGGTATTTTTCTTCAGGTTTACAGCTGCGTATTTCCACAAGTAAACCAAATAAATATTCAAAACCATGCTCATACAAGCATTCTTAGACACACCGAACCTTTCTTGACTTCAGGATAAATCCTGAATAAGAGCTGGTGATGTTAAAAGTAAATGACAAAGTCTGATCAAATAAGTACAATATAATGAACTTCATGTCTAACTGTCACCAAGTTATTTTGCGACAAGCTGATTGAGTGTCATTTAAAAAAATTTTCCTTCAATGTCAAAAATGTTTCTGATACTTTTTTTTTTTTAAATTATGCTTTTTAAATGCTGTTTGTGATCCATTCAAGCAATGACATCATGGGTATCACCGTTGGGTCTTTGGCGTATAGTCAGCGGGGGCAGAGGCTTTCCACAGAAATCTGTATAAGAAATGAATGCCAGAGAAGAAAAATATATTAATCTGTCATTTACCATCTCCCTTGCTTAAAGGATGCTTAAATAAGGTAAATTATTACTTTCTTAATCAAAGCTAGGTAGACTACAAGTTAGAGGTCCTAACAAGCAACTTTCAGACATAGTGCTAATTAACGTCTGAAGGTGTATTGGCCAAAATGTAGTTTAATTACATTTAGTTATACATGCATCAACATTTGTAAGATCAAGCCCAAATATGATCTGTAAATATCCCTAAAAATAAGAAATAAGACACCCCGAGGGTACAAGTAACAACTGAAAAAATGAAGAATCAAAAATTTAATGTTGCTGTAGTCAAGCCTGCATTGTGATGAAGTTTTAAGTGACAGTAATGCTCTGCAACATCCAAAATTTTGCGACCATTTACACATGGCATCTATCTTGAAAGCCATATTAACTTTCTAGCAGAACTATATTAAGAATTTTTAGACAAAATTGCAACATTTCCTTTTGCAAGTAAAGGAGTTTAAAGTAGTAAAATTGTTCAAGACAAAGTTATTAACTACACCAGAAGTGAATAACAAGTATTCTTAAATATTTGTAATTGATAACAAATTTTAAAAACCCATGCAGATTGTACATGCAAAGCATTTCACAGGCAAAATGATATCATGGAAGATGATGAAACGGGTAGAAATCAAGAAAAAATAAAAGCAGCTTTTTGAAGCATTCAAATCTGTATTTTGTTTACATAGACGATCCCTCCAGCAAAGCCTTGATGGCCTGCTAACACAAAATTCAGCTTTAATGAATCATAATTTTCCAAGAAAAATATATTCCACTTGTTTTACATACACAATAACTTGCATTAAGATTGCATTCCTCTTTTGCTGACTGCATGTCCCAGCAGGAAGGATGAGGCCATTAGCAGTATATATACAAGAAAGTCTTCACCATCCCAAAGTACTCTAAATGCAGGGCACCTGGTGCTAATTTCCTAATTGGTTTTCACCCATTGTTGGCCAGGCCTTGAGAGAAAACCAAGAGGAAGGTCTCTCTTGGCTGATTGTGGCCACCATCCACATTTCAACCCTAATTCAGGGCTTGGGGTTTAGATGCCACCATTTCAATTCCTGAGCTAAAATTAACAAACACGAACAAGTTGAATTAAATTACTCTAAGAACATGTGTGTAGGATCAAGGTTTTAGTTATCTTTAATCAGTAAAATCATAACACATATTATTGCACATATTTTGCTTTAAATGGAGCTAAGTCAGTGTTACAGCAGAATGTGAAAAGCAACAAAACTGCAACAAATTACTATAGGGTAAATGAAAACCTGTACAATGGATATTTTTATTAGTTTCTTGAAGTCTGGCAAATGACTTTAGGACTGGCAGACAATTTTATCTCCTATAAAGAGAGAGGTTTATCACTCTTGCAATGTGTCCTCCAGCGACAAGAAACAGACACTCATTACCTAGTGCTGCGGTAGAATCATTAGCATGACTGGAAAAATGGCAGTCTTTGGTGAAAATAAGTGTATAATTAAAGATTTATATAATGGACTCTATTGCCTGTTAACTCTGCCTAAACATTCAATATAACGTTCTCAGATAAGAATGCCAAAAAAATTACTTAATACATATACTAAATAGCCTGCTTGCCAACACTTAAATTTTTCAGTTTGCAAATTAAATCTTTAAGACAGACTTTTGTCTCTGAGAGCACCTAGCATTAAAAACCAGACCTTTGGAAATTGTTTCAACCTCATACTACACTGATTCTTTATATTTCAGCAGCAAGGTCTACCATATATGTGACACTTGCAAAAAAAATGCAGTTTTTAAGACAAAACCGAAGGAGCAACTGCTATCCTAACTGACAAAAGACCTGTACTAGAATGCATGGGAATACTGAGAAACACCTGCTCCTGTGTTTTATCATGAACTAGCAGAAATCAACACTACAAAATGTCCTATCTGTTTTGAAGTTTAAGGAGATTAACTTACATCGAGGAGCTATGAAATGTTTCACTGGTACACACTTGGATATAGACTTTCAGAGTACTCCTGGAAATAACCTCTATGCATAACCAAGGCCCCTTAAATTTTTAAAAGCAGGCTGATATCTTACGGACACTAAGAATTTTACCTGAGTACGGGCAAAAGCATCTACTCAGCATTCCTACTGCAATGGAGGTTTTTCAGCCTGGTCTACATGAAGGAGAGGTGTTAATTTGCCCCATACACAAAGACTTTTCACCCACTTGGCCAGCTGCAGTTTGTCAACGCAAACTGTTCAACAGACTGCAGTATAGCTATAGAAAACACTGCATTGCAGCGAATCCAAAAAATCTACAGACAAGAAAACCTTACTAATGTCTCAGCTAAAGGAAATAATAATATTAAAAAACCTTTAAGCTTTCACTGAAAATTGTGCCTTCAAGCCATTTTTACAAATTAATCATGAAACCAATAAGGAAACAGGCCTTTTCATTTTACGGAGGTTGAATGCTTGTACTTTGGGCAAAGCTGAGGAAAAATAAGTTTAAAAATGCAGTTAGGGAATATTCTAAAAAAAATGTGTCAAAGGTAGGCTCCACTGGTCTTAAGGAAAACAGGAGCAGGTTCTCCTTCTGCAAAATATGTAAAAACTGTTTGGAAAACACTGTTGTGTGACAGAAAATGGCAAAGACAGATAGCAAACTAAAATCAGTGCCAGACAAACTTGGTAGTGGTAGGTTAACAGTTGAACTCAACGATGAGTCCTTTCCTCATGATTCAGTGACGCTACGATTCCATGGCTCTCCAATGGTATAAGTTTTAAGTAAAGTAACTGATTCTCTTTGATATTAGGACATAAGGTCTGACAATGCTGGACCATGTGCCTGAAGATCTTTTTTTTTTTTAATTTATAAATACTGCTTTCCTAACAGATATTTTCTTGCTTTCTTGGGATTTTCTGTATCTGTGTGAATCTGGTGTCTCAAAATTCCTGAAAAAAGCAAATCTCAGCAAAGAGAAGGCAATGTCTTGAATTCATCTGGAAAGTTCAGAGCACTGCAAGTTTCCTCTGGTCTCAATGGTTACATCATACATGGTCAAGAGATAGTTCCCCTAGCAACATCTTTCCATTGTTAAGATTCCAAAATTCTTTTATTATTAACCTTATTTTACAAATGGACTAAACTAACACAGATCTCAGGTTACTAACTTACACATTTGTGAGTAGAAAACCTAGCGTTGGAGGTTTTTTCTCTCCCGCCCATGCTCTTGCTACAAAATACACCACCTCCCTTAGGCACAGGTAAAAATGGAGTTCCACCACTTCCCTTTTTTCCCCTCCCTACCTCTTCATCTGGCTTTTCTTTCTTGCCGCCTTCTCTCTACATGCCTTTAAAAAAAAAGAGCAACATGGTTTTATGAATAAGATTACAAACTAGATTTTATGCACATGAATTACGTTCCTGTGGAAAATAAGTATCTTTGTTTTAGAGGTCTTTGTTCCCTTTTTAGGCACCTTTTGATTCTTTGGCAGAGAAGCTCCATGTCCTGTTGCTTCAGAACTTCAGCAGGGATGTCCACATGGTGCTGTACTACATCATAGTAGTACAATCAATTCAAGTCAGGGTTAAGTTCAAGGATTACTACAGACACAGTGAGCTCCTTTCTTTTTAAGTTCCTCAATTCATACTCCCTTTGTTCAATTTATGTAAGTGCTCCCATTGCTTTAGTTTGGTCACCCTGCTCTCATATTACTCCAGATCACTCCATATTCACTTGGCTTTTCAAAAATTGAAAAATTAAAAAGTAAGAAAAAACAAGAAATTACCATCTAAAACTGAGAAAAAGATGCAATACATGCTTATAGCATATGAAAAACAGTCTTCCATGGTCTTCCAAAAATAGCAAGTATTAATTATTGAAGACAGAAATCAAAAATCTGCTTACTACACTTTGATATTTTCAGTTATTAAACTTATTTCTCCCACCAGTTTGTGAACTTTCAGGGATGCTGTCTCTTCCAGTAAAGCAGCAGATCCCAGGCTCTATTGCTGACAGCTCTCTTTGCAGACCAATAACCTAGTTTTCAGCTGGAAGTCTCACTGCTTCTCCAATCAAATTTATGTTGGGCTTTTCATTGTAGCTGGGAATACAGTCCCTCATTTGGAGCTGCTAACATAATGCACTTAATTCAAAGGTGCCCATGCCTTTAGCTTTCCTTCTCACAAGGAAACACCCCCAAAGCAATGACAAAAATCTTACAGACTGTGCTTTTAAAACTATGTGGAAACAGTAGCAGTGGGTAGAAGAAATTTTAGACTATCTCAAGAGGCAACACAAGGAGTCAACTTGCAGCAAATTCATCTGAACATGGGCTATGGTTCACAGAACTACAGAAACAGAACCCACTTTGGGTTCAGTATGGTGAAGCAGTTAGCACTTCAAGATGAGATCGTAAGATCATAGTGGAAACAAAGAGGCAGATTAGTGCAGAACCAGCCTGGATGTGGAAGAACTACTATGGATGCAAATTAATAAGCACTGCTGGATCATTGCGGTCCTGCTTAAGTCTTTCTGCAGTATCCTCTCTGCTGAGTACTTCAAGCTTCTTCCAGTATTCAGATAACCCAGCTCCCTGTCCCCATTGCATCAGATAATGATGAACTGTCTACATATGGACAACAAAAATATACTTCAAAACTTTCATTTTGATTGCAATATGTATTTGGACTCTTAAAGTAACTAGTTCTGCTCCTCTTTGTTATATATATGGCACATTATAATATTTAGGTGCATGCTGCTGTGCAAATAACTTTAGATTATTAATAGCTTCTGATATCCCTTGTCACTTTAAACGTTATAGGAATCTGAGAGAAGTTACTCTTCTTGGTAAAAAAAAAAGAAAAAAGACTTGAAAAATCAAAAAGATGCTTTCTACTAAGCAAAAGGGTTAGCTTTTGGTCAGTGAAAATTTGCATTAAGAAATTAAAAATAGATGAAGAATGAAACAAATGCAGAAGTGAATGAACAATGGAGAATGCTTTGAAAAGGTAAAAAACCCAAAATATTTTCAATTACCAGCATGATGTGTTTCACCAAGAGGCTCAAGTTTTCGAAGTCTATTAAGTTTGGGAGTTCCCCAGCCAACTAAAGGAAAACAAAGACAGTCAACACATGCCACGACTGCACTTAATTCTGATTAAATGTATGGAAGCCACTTTTCTTTGGAAGAAATCAAAGCATTTAGCAATGCTGAAAGTATGTAATATCTTGTATACACAGTGAACAATGATAAAATATTTGAAAAATAAACTGATTTACCCTTAAATAGACTGATTTTTTAAAAATCCCTTTCTCAAGTCAAGTTTTTGATTTTTTTTTTTTTTGGTGGGAAAATGATAACATCTTCCCCCTGGGAACAAATCAAATCGACACTGCTGGAAGTTCATACCATCAAGTGGGAAACTGCGTCAAAGATTTCCCTAGAGAGTAAGGTTTAGTAGCATATCTCTATGGGAAGACCATTCCAGCTTCATCATTCACAAATGAATATTTTAAAGGATTAATAATAAAAAATTGAGACATCGATTATTGTTTGTTAGTACACTTACCTGGTGGAAGAGCTACTGGTGGTGTAGGATTTTTGGGAACAGTGTCCTCTGCATTAATAGGTTCTACTCTGTGGCCCCTTTTTAATTTTGGTTTTTTACTTTTTTTCTTGCCGTTATCTATACCAAACAGAAATAAAGCATTACATATCATATTGTTACATATCAAACAGTCATATTCAGATAATATCTTAGATCATTTTCAAATACAGTTTTTGGACTGAAAATGCTGATGTATCGCACCCCAACCTTATATACAAAATCTTGTGAAATGTAAAATTTACACAACACTTTGCTACAGAAAATAAACTGTAAGCATAAAATATACTCAAACTATGTTTTAATAAAGAAATTCAGCTTAGCTTGGATGGGAAGTGGACCACATATTTGATTATGATAAAAATGATCCTAGTTTCAGCTAAAGTATCAGTCACACCAACAAACATGCACTTTTTCAAAGCAGATTTTGCAGTACAATAGCCTAATGGTGCATTTTTATATTTTCAATAGATTAAGTAGATGTGTGGCATCATGAAAAATAATGCATATAGTGGGAAGAACTATGAAAAATAACATTAAATCACACATTAAAAAGAAGCAGTTTTACCTGAGTCAAGGCATTCTGAGGCTTGCTGCTCATTCTCTTCCTCATGCTGCAAAAGCTGTGCAGTTGTAGAATTGCACGTTTCTAATCTACTGTCACTTGTGTTTTGTCTACTGCTACTTGATAAGTGCTGGGCATCCGTCTGTTCCTGCTCCGTTTGTAATTTCAAGACAGTCGTGGCCTTTTCAGCCTCCAACCTTTGCCGTTTCTTTTCCTTTTCAATTTGTTTTTCATTCTAAAAAAAAAGTGTTGTTTTTTTTTAAGAACTTGTAATGCTGTATACTGACTAGTAGGACAGGAATGTTATTTTAAAATAAAATATTCTTTACATAGTTTTTCTGGTCTACATCTAGCATAGAAAATATTTTCAAATATTTGAAGAACTTAAATTTCTAATATTCTGTCCTGGGGAAGGAAAAAAAAACCCGCTTTAAAAAAAGGATTAACAGCAAAGGAGATTATCGGTAGGTTCATAGCCTGTTTTCTTGCTTTCTTTTTGGTCATATAAAAAAAAAAAAGCTAGCTATATAGACAGTGTGAACAGTTCTGAGCAAAAGGTTGGAAAACGTCTAATATTTTCGTCTTCAATTGTCTTTTTTTTTTTTTTTTTAATGGTTTGGTTAAAACAAAGTGCACAAGAACAGAGCTTAAGTGTCCAGAATGTGCTACCATGACTTGGATAAATATCAGTTGTGTCATACAGACTCAATGACAGACTGTCTCACAGGTTCTATATCACTAAATCACCATCTCTGCAATATTCACTGCTATACCTTTCTCTTCTTATCCTCTGTGTTATTATAAATTGTATTATTGTTCATGAGGCTGACTTCACAAGATATATGGATATGAGAGCTTTTGTCCTGAAGAGAATCAACTATTTGAATACTTACGGCAAAAGTCTCTGAGAGCTTACGTGTTTCTTGAGATTATGTTATCTCAAGTCAACTGAATAAAAACATATGGTGAAATAAATAAGAACTTCCTGAACTCAGAAACTCAGGTTAAGGCAACTTTATATACTAATACGCTTTTCACATTTCAAAGCTAAGAAAACTTTTTAATTGTCTCAGTTTTCAACAGAAAAGAGAGTATGCTCAGAAATCTAAATAGCTGAAGTAGTCAGGGATATTTTATATGACTCACTACATTGCTAAAACACTTTACAAGAAACTAATAGACCTTGAAAATTTTCCACTCCTCAATATCTAATTGTTTAATATAGAAATGTGTTCAGTCATCTGCGTACAATACTTTCATTTTACTGTCTACAAACCTTTTAGTCCCCAAATCAATAATGAGGGATTTTCTTAACATTAGAGCATTGATTCAATGCACACAAACCAAGACTGCTAAGATTAAAAAATAAAAAAATGTTGTGCATATAAGCATAGAATAATTCTTTTAAATGAACTACTTTTCTTATTACCTCTCAGACATTTGTTAGTGGTAGTTCTAAACCGATCTAGATTTCCACATATTCTCATACCTCAGAGATTACAGCAGATATAGGCTGGAAGGGGTTTTCAGAGTTCCCAGGTTCAGAGTCTTCCTCATCAGGGACACTTCTTCCTTCTTCTCTTTCC